AGCCCTAAGGGAAAATTTAAATTATAAAAATTAATTCCTGTCAGATTATTTGTTTGAATTTCAAGTTGTTTTGCTGTTCCAGGAATGTTGCAGTGTTGGTAGCAGGATCATGAAGCCAGGTTGAGCCAAATTGGCTTGCATACACTTGTGATTTTGGATTTTGAGAAAAATGAGTCAGTTTAACATGGTTAATACATTCATGCTGTAAGGTTGGTGATAATAAGTTCTTTAGACATTGAGACATGCAATTACCCTAAGTGCAGATAAACAAAATCTTTTGTGCATGTGTTGCATATGCAGATTTGGAATACTCCAGGAGCAGTGGTCTAGCCCGAGTTGAGGCTGCCATTCAAGACTCGCAGGAATAGCTTTGTATGGTGTGAGGAGCTTTTAACTGCAGATTATTGAAGCTCAGGGTTAATTTTACCAAAAAAAAGAAGATGACAGACTGGCATAGATGTGGTTGGAAGATTGTTGGTATATTTTGAAGGATATCACTCAGATGCCACTACAGCATTCTGGTATAAAATTGTCCCTGCTTAGCCACAATTGACTTGGTCTAAGAAGCTGTCAAATACTCCAGCACTGGTATGAGTGACTTCAGTGACTCAGTCCAGCAGTTCATGTTTTTAGGTTTTGACATTAGCTCTGCAGAGACAGTGCAGAGTAACTTAACCCAGATGACAGAATGAAGAATACTTTTGTATATAAAAAGCAATGCTAATGATGGGCAAAGAGGCATGTAATTGCTCTCGTAGGCAACCCAGAATACTAAATTAGTGAATTTGTGTTATGTTGAAGAACAATGATGAAGAACAATGAAGAATGTTGTCTTTAGGTTTCTCCTCAGTAACCTGAATTTTTTTACTGTTTTTTTTTTCTCCTGGAAACCTTAGCTCTTTAGTATTAAGTTGGGGTAGGCATTGTGAGATGGGTATTTCAAACAACTTCACCGAGTCAACACTCATTTTCTTGACTTGGCAATCAAGATTGTTTCTTTCTAGCCAGCAGGTTTCTGCTTTTGGGGGAAACTTTGCTATAGTGAACTTAAAAATAACCTCATCACTCTATGCAATTTTATTATTGAATTTTAAGTTTCAAAACTGATAAAAGTAAGGTGAAGTTACCATGTCTGGCTAGTGCCAGGCTGCTGTCATAGTGTTGTGTACTACAGGTATGCCACTTTTGCCGGTGTTAATCCCTTCTGTTGATGTTCTGCTTGTGTACCAGCTGAGGGAGTTGCTGGCTTTCCAATTAAGGCAGTAATTGAACCAGTTTGATCACTTTCTCCTTTGCCAGATGTCTGGGCCAGTTGAGCAGTTAATACTGATGGGAAGTAGCCTTAGGAGGATGGGATGTGTGCAGCCTGTGGCAGAGCCCTCCCCTCTTCAGGGGAGACTGGCATGGAAAGGAGACTCAGCTTTTGTCTGAGGAGGAAAGGTGAGCTTCCAGTTCTTCTGCGGCAAGGTTTGAGTTTGCACAAGCCTGAAGTACCTGTGGGACAACACTTTCTCATTGACCTTTTGATAGTGGCTTGCTCTGAGATGTTTCAAATGAGCAGTGCTAATGAGACTGTTAATTACACCCATCCCAATGCTGTATTGCTTCCTTCCTCTCTTCACTGGCATTCAGCCTTCTCAGAGCACAAGCAGGGTGTTTGCTGGCTGAGGGAGGATGAAGCTCAGTAATGTCAGATAATTTGTTCTCATGGACTGTGCACGCCACAGGGAACAAGACCCTAATGTTGTAATCCTGCCCCTGTCACTGTGTTGATGTGCTTTATGGATCTGTTTCTTTTCTCCCATAATTTTTAGTAGTCAGTGAAGGCCCTGGGGGCTGGTGAGAGGCTTGACAGTGTAAAGCACTCTGAATGTGCTTGTACAACATGGGCTCTACAGTTAATTCGTATCCAGCTGAGCACTGGTTTTTCAGGCATGTTTCATTCCAGGATGAACATAACAGAATCTACAACATCCTGGACTTTTCCTGTGGGAAAGTGTTGTTTCTTGCAGCAACTGTCCAATCCTGGCGGTCATGGCTGGGCACCTGGTGGCAGCAGGACCCTGGCAGCAACTTCCAGAGATTGACCACTTCCATTTTATGGTTCAGTTAAGATGACCCCTAAGGCTTGTGTCTCTGAAAACGCTGGGTCAGTTTCGGTGCGAGTCCATCTCTGCCAGTGGCAAAGCCAAGTAACGCAGTCTACTGGATACGTATTTGGAGATTGATGCCAGCTTCCCAAACCGGAGAGTGTCAGCTTGCAATTCAAGTGCTGCTGACGTTTGCGGGAAGGCTTTCTGTTCTAAGCTGTCAGATCTTAGCCAGTGTATGTAATTAACTTGGTATAATTCTGCTTCAGAATGAAATATTCATTCAAAAGAGACTTAAAAAAACCATCCTGATGTTTTTAGTGTCTGGGTAGTAAGTGATGCTGCACAGAACAAGGCATACATTTATCATTAGAGAGATTGGTTTAATGGCAACTCCTCTTTGTTACTGTGGTATACAGAAAGTCCCAGGGGCTTTTACTGTCCATCACTTCTTGGGTCTTGTGGGTAATCCAGATACAAAACCCACAGACATACATTAACAGTGGAACCAGAAAATAATACCAAAATACAGCCTGAAATGTTTTGGTTGGCTAATTATCCCAAAGGACAAATGTAAAACTTTATTTTGCATAGTAATTTTTCTAGAGTTTGGTAATGAATCTTGTGAGCAGAGCAGGAGAGGGAATGGAAATGGAAGGGGTAAAAAATTTGTTTTGCCCCAGAGGACATTCAGAAGTTAGTCAGGGAAGTGATAAAAATACCACCAAACCAGAAACTCATGGCTTGCAGGTGGTGTATATCAAAAGCTCCTCCCTGAGTTAGGGAGCATTGAAGATTTGCTGAGAAGAAAGTTATGGAAGTTTAGAAATTACATAGCCCATTTGATTAAAAGATGGGAACAGGGTGTTGTGTGTAGTTGCTCCATCCAATTCTTGCTTACTTCCCCATCCTGAAGTTCATTGACCACTTCTGGTCTCTAAATCTGTTACATATTTTGATTCTGAAGGAATTGATTCTTTTTAAGACTTGAATTTTATTGTTTCCTCTTTTGAAAAATATCCTACGCACCAAGGTTCCCCTTTTGTGCTCTCTCAAAACTGAAATGAGGGGTTTGCCTTAGACTGCAAGCTGAATTTGCTGTTTACGATCAGAAAACAACTTCCTGAAAGATGTTTAGGCAGGGGATATAGAATTGATAAATCCAGCTGAACACTGAGATCTTGTCATGCTTGATTCCTTTTTTTTTGTTGGGAATGGAATTTTTTTATGGTCATGTTGGCGTTGTTTATTTGTTTAGATTGCATCCAGGATGGACCATACAAAGCCAGAAGTATTGATTCTTTGCCTTGTTGCTGGTTTTGTAGTACCACAGGCTTGCTGTGATAGTCTGGTCACTTCTATCAGTCCAAGTTTAGCAGAGTTATTCCACATTGTACCTTAAATGATGCAAAGTAATTGCCTGGATGAGATTCACAGCAGACAGGTTGTTACCTGTGTGAAAGGATGAAAAGTCCTTTGTAGCTGCACATAACCTCTAGGTGAGGATTCTTGTTTTGTGGTGTTTTTAGTTCCGTTTTGCTTTTGTGATGAGGCTGATGAATGAGATTGAGTGGCAACACCAAAAGAAAGCATGTCACCCTCAGTGAAACCTCTTGTTTTTCAAAAAAGTAGTCATAAGACAAGTTGTAGCATCAACCAGAGATGACACATCAAGAGGAAATTGTGTCTGGGGTGAACTGAGCTTTACACCTTTGCTTGTTGACATATGCTCCTCACCTACAGCAGCACATTAAAATCATCTTTACATTTTGATATAAAAAAGAGGGAAAGAAAAGAGGAAGTTGCAGTAACCCACTAGTTACTACATACGTTTTATTCTGAGTATATTAGAATGATGGAAAAACCTGAGTTCATGATTTGCTTCAATTCAACTCAGTATTTGATACCAGTAATTATAACCCTCCAAATCTGTGTTTGTTTATGTGTGGCCTGTGTCCAGCTGTTGTGCCATGGCAGAACTGGGGGATGTGGTGGAGAAGAATATAACTATTGGCTGGCATCCACCCTCTCTGTGCAGCCAGGGAATTGCACAGCTCCAGGCAGCTCAGGGGCAAAAAAAAGTTTGGGATGGAAATGTTAAGCCCCTACTAACTCTCATTTCAGAGAGGCTTTCATACCGTGCTGTGTTTTTGTTAATCTCACTTTGTAGATACTACTGTATTTAAAAATTGTCTAGGAGATACTACAGAACACCTACCTTCTACTTTATTGATGACTGGTTGTCTACACCAGTGGTTAGTAGACTTGTTATGGCTGGGGCTTCTTTTCAATTTGTCAATGACAGCTGCAATGAGAATGACAGCACTGAGTCACATTATGATTTAGACTTTGTTGTGTGGCAGCAGAACCAGAAGTATTAAATTAAGCAGCTTTTTCTCCCCATTTCTTCCTGTTGGAGTACCCTTTATGCCAATAAATACCTGTTGTGGATGATAAATGCTTGTGGCCGGGTGTGTGCTTGCCCCTCCTTGTTCTGCAGGTTTGTGGGAGCCACAGCCCCTGAGCAGGGAGCCTCCTCCCTGCCTCCTCCAAGGGCAGCTGGAACCATGTGTTGATGCAAGACTAATTCAGATTATTTTCATTAAGTCTTTAGCTGTGTTACCTTTTTTGCCTTGGAGGATAAAATGTATGGTGCTGGGCTTTGTTTCTGGCTTAACAGAATACAATGTAAGTTCAGGGTTCTTGGACTGATACACACCATGATGAACTGCTCTGGTTTTTATGGGGAAAGTGTTGTGTGGATGAGCTGAACTCCATGATCCTGTTTCCTTGAAAGAAACTGCATTGGTGTCCATTGGATGAAAGATTTACCAAGTGGAGCTGTAAATGTTTTTAATGACTGGAATATGTGTAGATCTTGCTCAAAGAATTGTTTTCTTTCTTTTGCAGTTTCTTGCACAGCCAACCACTCAGCAGAAAAGGAATTCTTCAGCCTCTTGTTTCAAAAGGCCTTGAGCAATCTTCTGCTGTTCCACTCACTTTGGTCCCACATTTCAGCAAAAAAAAGATCCACAGAGGAGGATGAGGCAGCTTAGAGGAAAACCCAAAAAAGAGACCTCCAAAGATAAAAAGGAGAGAAAGCAGGCAATGCAAGAAGCCCGGCAACAGATCACCACCGTGGTGCTTCCCACACTGGCTGTCGTAGTACTGCTGATTGTTGTGTTTGTTTATGTAGCGACTCGGCCCAACACAACTGAATGATGCAGCTTTTCAGACTCTCTAGCTTTGGGATATTAATTTTACCAAGAGCCAAAAGGAACTCTCTGCCACTCTTTTAGTACTTTGCAAAGGATCTTGCTGGTATTTTCAGTCTTTCTCTTGGCCAGAGTCCCACAGATTCTCTTTAGGAATGTAACATAAAACGTATTAGTGAATGTGCCAGTACGTTTTATGGTCCAGTTATGTGCCTTTCAGACTTTTAAAAATGGTGTTTTTCTTAAAGCTGTTTGAAGCTCTATATTGTAAAAGGAAATCGTGTTCTGCTATAAATTTGTAAAAATCAGCTTTCAGCTTTTATCACTGTTACAGATAATGTTGCTCCCATGAGCTCTTGTATGTCTATTTCAGAATTTCCAAAGAAGTACATTTCTTCTTTGTACTTAATGTCATATGAAGTGCTTTGATTCAGAAAGGATATATTTATTTTTGAATAAAAGAAGTCTTACTTGGAATCTTCAAATTATTTTGCAAAAAAAATGTGACATTGTGAGAGCCTACATTGTGTAATAATTTTTTCATCAACCACTATATAGTTCACTCAAAAAGAATTTCTTTTTGGTGTGAGATGCCAACATGCAAAGTGAATACTTCAGGACCTGCTGGATGGAATCTTACAGACTTTGGACAGGGAGATTCTGCCAGGTTATGGTGAAGTAACTAATAACAAACTACATAAACACAGATAGTTGCTTATCTGAATGTTCAATATTTGAAACTGTGTAAGTGGCAATAAAAAGGTGGTTTGCATACAAAATGTTGATTATTTCTTTTATTGAGAAGGAAGAAGTAACAGTGTAACTTTGGTCTCTGACCTGTTTGCTGAAGTGAGCTGCTGTCCTGTGGCACACCCCCATCCCCTCACTGGAAGGAACCTGTGAGCACAGCTTGGGCAGTTTAATTCTAGGAAATTAAGCTACAAATTCTCATCAAAATGCCTCAATGACCCTGTATTCTACTATAGCCCTTTCTCATCCAAGTATTTTAAGGCACTCAATAGGCATTAACCTTCAGAAGAATTTGGGGAAGGAGATTAAGAACTCTTCACTGCTGCTTAAATGGAGGCCAAGCAAGGAAGAATGTTGATGCTATGGTGCACTGGTGCATGGCAGGAAATATTTCTATGCTGAAAGTTAAAGATCCCTTGAGTCTTTCCCTCATGTGTAGTCTTTTGGCTCAGGCATAGTCCCAGTGAAGTCAGTGGGACTCTTCACGGAGGTGCCAGTGAAAGAGGGGGCTGTTTCCTGCATCACCCCCATGAACTGCTCCTGTGCAGAATGCTGCTGCCAGCCAAAGTTGCTTTACAAAAAAACCCACTTCAGGTGAGCAAATCCAGGTCCTTGCAGGGTACTTTGCCCTAAGGCCCTTGTTCCCCCAGCAGGGTGAGCCTATGGCTGGCTATAAACTGGCTCCACTGGGGACGATGCAGATACCTGATGGCACGAGGGTGGCTGTGGCTCCTGACGCGGTGCTACTGCTGTTGGGAGTGTCTAGAATAAAACTGGCCCTGAAGACCGAGATGTTTTTGAAATACAAAGTTTACTAGATCCTAAAGAAAGAGTTTGGATGTGCTGTGAGGTTGTTCCCCCCCGCAGCTTGCATCATAGCTGGGCTGTGTGCACAACGAACGGCACAGACAGCATGGCCAGCGTGGTCTGACTGCAAGAGCGTTTACCCGCGGAGCGGCCAGCGGGAAGTCTGCCGGCAAACCCCTGTGCTCAGCGGGCCGTGTGCTGACACTGAAATTATCTGTGCTTTGCACTGACAACCACTTCCTTCAACTGGGGAGCTCTGAAATGATGAATCTGTAACGGTAATTGCTTAGTCTGTCATCTCCCAGCTGTTTCTGTTCTCCTAGGCACCAAATCCTTGTCCTATTTTTATTTTATTCTCAGTCAGGGATGGCTGCAGTGGAGCTCTGGTAGTTTGCACCTTTTTTAACTGAGCTGTTCAGCTTGAATAAAATTTGTGCCTGAGCAAGTGACCAAAAGTGTGTGCAATTTAAATATGCATGTTCTGCAGGGTACTTGGTGTCTTGGGTGTCTAGAATAGAAGTGCAGTTTTTGATAACCTCTTGCAGACTCCTCCTCATTGTCCTCTTCCATAGATTCTTAACCAGGGATTTCCGACCCTTCTTGTTCTGTAATACTTTGTGATGGCTCTAATGAACTTCTTCTGACTTTCCCGTCTCTGAGTGGTAGCTTATTTCCTGCTTCTACCTGCAGGGCTTTTTTATGAGCCCAGGCAATGATTTTATAATTCAGAGAGCCTTCCCTGAAATTGTTCAGAGTCCTTATGTGGTTTTGCCCCACCTTCATTTTCTGCAAGAGTTGAGTCTGTGGCATAAGAGCAATGAACTGATGAACTGGCTGATAACAACTAAACAGGTAAAAGGTCAGTTGGGTTAGATAACATTTATGATTACTCCTCTAACGAGATGTTACATTTCTGCTATTTTTTTTCTTACGCCCTTCCTTTATCTCTTGTCATCTGTAAACTCTTCAGGTCACAATAATAATATTTTCAGAGACAAATGTCTATTAATATGGACCTATAGCTAATTAAAGATGTGTATTTCAATTCTCTGAAATGTGCAATTCTCTGAGTGCTAATTGAGAGGAAAATAGTGTTACACTTTCTGAATGGTTCATTATGTAGTTCCTTATGTAGAAGCTGGAATTGATTTCACAGTTCAACTTAAAAAAAACCAAACTATTTTTTTCTCTAGTAAACAATGAAGTTGGATTCTGACATTTTCTACCAAATTCCCTTTTACTAGTACTGAATATGAGAATGTGGATTTGGAAAAAAGGTATGAAGCCTCTGCAGACAGAAGCTGTCAAAAATCACAGAGTAATAATGGGGAAATAAATAAATGGTGGTTGCTCAAATGTCAACTTGTGTGAGCTTCTCAGCCAAAGGTGTAACTGTGCCTCTGTTTTTTTAACTGTATGTATTGCTTCAACTGTCAGTTGCCTTCAAAAATGTCTTAGAAATAGGGTTTCAAACCTTTTCCCAGCATACAGTAGCTTGTGGGCAAAATTGAATGATTTATTACAAGCATTTTCCAGAAGACTCATGCTGAGACACTTCTTCAGCAGTGTCTTATGATTTCCAAGAGTGCTCATTATCAGGTGAAGTCATTAAAAACCTGCCATTTCCTTCTGATAAATCAAGTTATAGAAGCAGTTTTTAAAACCTGATTTTTCAAAGCATAAATCAAATCTGAGTCAAATACTTAAACATCAAGGTTTGAATGGAGTTTTATAAATGTCTGCAAAGTGCTAAGAAAATAAAGTGATCGTGTCAAGTATTCTTGCAGTGGGTGAATGCCCAGCTGTGTTACACATGGCCCCAGCTCCCCAAAGCCAGGTGACAGAAGCCAGTGGCACTGCCTGGGGTCTGAAGGAAGAACTACACGTATTTTAAGAGCTCGGAGAGATTTGCTCCTGGTCTCATGTTTCAATCCATCTACAAGAAAAATTTACTTATTCACTTATGTTCAGTTTAAATGCACACACCAGAGAAGATGCACTGTTCTTTTTTCAGACTGTTTACATTCAGTGCCCAGATGGTTCATGTACAGCTTTGAACACTCCTGTAGCTGTGGAAGAGGTGAAAGAAACAGACTGATCTGTTGGTTTAGAAAGGGACACAGGAATGCAGCATATCATAGTATATGGCATTGCTCAATCCACTAGCAGAAACTTAGATGCAGTACATTAAATTACAGTCTATTTATGGATTTGAAGGTGTCCATGTGATTAAAGAGTAACTCCACCACAGAGAACTTTGAGATCTGATCCCCACAGCGAGGGAAAAACAACACACAGCTCCCACATTGGTTTACCCAACTCCAATGAACTCTGCTTAACCTAGAATTTTCTCAGCAGAAGCTGTGTGTGAGGAGAAAAAAAACCCACATTTTCCTAGCACAAGGCAGTTTGTGTGTAACATCTAGTAGATAGCTATTTTGAATGGAATTAAACTGAGAAAATAAAAGATTGTGAATGACGTAACTGGCTGTTGTAGGTTGTAAAGCCAGAGGAGAATGATACAAGCTAAGGACCTTCTCCCCAGCACACTCTGCCAGCTGTTGAGTCTGTGGGAGAAGCAGGAGCAGAGAGCAGCAGGAGAGGAGTTCAGCACATACCTGAGCTGGCTGTGTAATCCAGGCTTTGATGGCTGGCAGGACAGACTGTAGATGTGAAGTCACCTGGGGCTCATGCATTCAGCAGTCTCTGTTGACAGCTCCCTTCTCATTCCCACCGGTGGTGTTTAGTTGAGCTTTGAATTATTAAGTGCTGGTGGCTTGATTCTGTGGCTGTTGTAGTGCTGTTAAATCAGGAATTAGAACCAGTTCCACTACAATAAAGCCAGAACAGTGACACTGGGGGGTTCAGCACTTCCTGTACTGTCTCTGATCACAGCACAGATTTATTGGCTGTTGTTTAATTCTTACCCATCAAAAAAGCAAGAGAGCCGTGCCTGTGATTGTTTGTTGGTTTTTGGGTTCATCTGGCACTGTGTTTTGCTGCTGCAGTTTGAATTCCTCTCTACACTGGCTCAGAGTACCCACTGTCTGACACTCTTGCATTCCTATACTCCTAAATTTCCCGTACATAAAAGGAGAGAGTAAGAAAAGGAAGAAAATGCGCTAAATATTCTACTTTCATGTGAGCCACTTTTAAATGGCTGTTTAGTATTCAGTAACTGCTGTTTCAGCCCCCTCTGAGAAAGTTTTGGGAAGTGAATTGGACAGCAATGCTCTGGCAGCTCTTATGCCACCAACTACTTCAAAATTACATCTTGATGAAACATGTTGGCAACTGCGTGCATTTGACCTCTGTTTTTCCTTCAGCCAAAAAAAAAAAAAGCTGGTGGCAGCCTGAACCATTGTTCTTTGTATTTAAAACAAATCTTTCAACTGGGAGCCAAAAAATTGCTTTTCAGTACAGCTTTGAAAAATCATCAAAGTCCAGCAGCTTACAAAAATTTTCCATTGCCTTGCTATTCACAAAGTAGAAAATACATTTTCTGTATTTTTGGGCAATATGCAGCTCCTGTCAAATGAGCCTAATGATTAATACTTTTTTTTTTCAGTTTTATTGGTGTTTTGAGGAATTTATAGCCTTTGACCCTTCTGATTATTCCTTCTTTAACAATATACATCCATGTCCAACCCCTGTCCATAAATGAGTAATTTCTCAGTCTTTATTATTTCTGCTCTCCATTCTTTGAAAAGTTTTTCTGGCATGATAACATCAGGAAGATGTATCTTCCTTCAGAAACCTCTCATCTGTTCAGTTGGGCTTCTGCCTTTTAATGCAGCTAATTCAAACCAGTGGCGTGGCTCCATAGCTTTACTATAGTAGCAATGGGCTCATTTAAATTGGGGATTGTCAGATGAACAACTTTTGCTGTTTGGTTGAGAAGGAGAAGGACAACCTTTCTGGTTAGTAGGTGTTTAAAAAATAAATGGCACCTTGACCCATCATGTCTCAGCACATTTGTGGCACAATGCTCTCTGAGCAGGCAATAACAGTAACAAGTAGGCTCTTCAGATCCAGGTACTTCACAGTTTTCAGTGCTCCTCACAGGCAGTTTATTATATGGCATTGCACAAAAGCCAGGCTGAAACTAACTCTGGTATTTTATTAGCCAAAATTAGTAGCTTGTCCAGATCTTAAAAAGCTTTAGGAAAAAACCTCATCATACCCATTTTTTGATTATTTTGTTCATTCATTCTGCATCATC